TTCCCCCCACCCTTGACAATCCCCTGGCCTCCCCTACCCCCCAGTGTCTTATGTCCATTGGTTATGCTTATATGCATGCATACAAGTCCTTCGGTTGATCTCTTACCCCCCTCCCTCCTGCCCCCCAGCCCTCCCGGGCCTTCCCGCTGCAGTTTGACAATCTGTTTGAGGCAGCTCTGCCTCTGTATCTATTATTGTTCATAAGTCTAAGGATCCCACTTGTGTGTGCTCCATTTAATGCCTAGAAGGACTCAAAAAGAACCGAACGTTACACGCTGGGAACAGCTCCGCTTCACGTTGGAGCAAACGTATTGATACGCACGACAGTCTCGGGGCTCTGGGGAGTGGGGTGAATTACAGCAGCAGCAGGAGCTGCGGGTCCTCTCCGCACGCCCTCCAGCCCGTATCTGAGCATCAGAGAATGACACCCACAGTCCCAACGCGATAAGGAAGAAGGACGCAGGCCCTGGGCGCCCAGCAAGGACTCCGGGGGGGTCCCCAGAGCCTCTTGTCCCTGGAGAGGTGGGGGGGGTGGAAAAAGCCCCCCAGGGGGCTGTCTGTGGGATTAGCTGGGTCATTTCAAGATAAAGTCAACTAGGAAGCAGGGAAGCGGGAAGCAGCGGGATCCAAGGGGCCTGGATGCTGGGAGAACCCGGGGGGGTTGGCACTCAGAACAGAGGGCCTCAGGGGAGAACCAGCCTGGAGCGGGGAGAGGGAGGGCTCAGACCTAAACTGAAATGAACTAGCAGGTGGGTGACGGAGGGGGAAGACCGGATTTGGAGGCCGTGGACTTGGAGACCCTGGGTCTCAAGGATGTTCTAGAAAAATCCTGAAGCAGCCACCTGGGTGTTGAGAAGAATCAGCCAGGCGTTTGGGGGCTCCAGACCACCTGTGCTGCACACACCGCACCCCAAATTGTCAACAAGCAATCTCGGCCCACGGAGGGGCGCGTTCTAATTGTCGGGGGGCGATGGAGCTCTATTTGTTTGGGACAGGCACCTCCTTGTGCTGGGGAGGGTCAAAGCATTTCCGTAGCGAGTCCAACATCCAGGAACACGAATCATTAAGCATCGGTGATAAGGGAAACCAGGCCCGCTGACTCATAGCTTGTGTGCTCAGCCCGCCAGTGACTATTGGGAAATGCTCTGTATGTAAAGGGTTTAAATATTTCAGAGGCTCTGTCCCCTCGGGTAAGACGTTAGCCTTGTGGCTCCAGCTCAGGAAACGTAGACATTAATTTTAGGTTTGCAATTTTAAGATAATTTACCTGAGTCTGAACAAGATCGGAATGTTTAAGAGAACCCGGGAAGCCTCTGGAAGTTTATGGGCCAGATTTACGGGGGCTGCTTAAGCATCGAAGAGAGCTTTCTCTGTTAATGAGGCACACGCATTGCTTGAAAGGAAGCCAAACACATTAAATTTACGGACGCAACTTGAAATATTCAAAGGAATTTAGTCCACGGGCCCATTAAGACGTCCTCTTGGAGCGTTCTGAAACAGCAGATTTATAAATGGAATATGAAAAATTTTCAGCCGAACTCCAAGGCTTTAATGAAAACAAAGCGTTTGAGATGTTTGCTTTAATCTGCAGACCGTTAAAAAAGAACAAAAGTGCCCTGGCCGGGTAGCTGCGTGGGTTGGAGCGTCGTCCCGTAAACCACAAGGGTGTGGGTTCAATTCCCGGTCAGGGCGCATCGCTGGGTTTCGGGGTCAAGCCCCAGTGGGTGTGTGTACAGGAGGCAACCGATAGGTGTTTCTCTCTCTCTTCCTCTCTCTGAAATTAAAAAAAACCACACACATTAAAAACTATTTTTTTAAAAGGTAGGGAGGGTGTACCTGGCGTGTATCCGAAGGGGCCATGGGGTGGAGATGATGACAAGGGAAAACATCGGGAGGTGGGGGCCTCGGCTGGTGATGATGATGATGATGATGATGTGAAGGAAGGTGTGTGTTTACCTCAACCCCATGATACCCGATGAAAAGGAAACGAAACGTGAGCGGGTAGACCCAAGACCAGGAAGTGTGATTCTAATCTGAGTCTCTCCATCTAGGGCCTTAGATGCAGCCCTTCGGATGGGTGACGGCGGGACCACGGGTTTGACCACGGAGGCCACAGAGCTGGTGCCAGAGGCCAGACGCGTCCGGGTCAGCAGGAGGCTGGCCGGCTCTCCGCTGGGCGTGAGGCTGAGTGTCCGAGGCCCCCTGCACCGTCCCTTTATCGTGTCTAAGGCTCACGGAGCGACCGGACAACGACGGGGATGGGAACTTCCTGTTTTCAGATCCAGGTTTACAGATCAGCCTTGGCTTTCTGTTCTGACACGTTCACCATCATTCTGCTGAGCGAAAGAAGCCAATCAGAGAAAGACAAGTAGCCCATGATCTCACTCATATGTGGAATCTAATGAGCCAAATAAGCTGATGAACAAAAATAGAGCCAGAGTCATAGAAGCATGAACAGACTGTAGAACCTCGGAGGGAAGGCGGGGGAGGTGGGTGGGAAGAGATCAACCAAGGAACGCGTATGTATATAGGCGTCACCCGTGGACTCAGACACTGG